GCGCTCACTAAACTTACTTTCATTACACTTTCTATAACGAGAAATGTATTTTCACCTTCACTATCCTTTCTTAGTTTTGCGATAGTGAATTTTTTTTCAGTCAGTCTCGTATCACGTCAGTCATCACTTCTCTCCAGTTTTCAACGCACTGATTTTGTACTGGCAATATTAAGAATTACCCTTGAATTTGATTAAGATTGCCTTAAATGCATTTCGTGCGAGAGTTCATGCCTAAATCAATAACTGTTATCCGCATTATTTTTATTTGTCTTCAGTCGAAGACACGCTATCCGGCCTTTGAATTTAACGCAGATCATTAACCTTCAGTTCTTAGCGACCTTCATGAGTGTTCGACAAGATTGGGAAAAAATTCCTTCCCACGCATGGGAGTCAAGTTTCACGACGAGTAACAGGCTTGCTTGCAAGCGCGAATATAAAAAAGAATAGTGAGTTTCACAGAAAATTTGTGATTTTATACAGGAGAGATTTCGCACAGCAGTTTTGCAAGAGAAAAATGTCAAGCAAACGGAAAACGACTGTTTCGAAGCAAACGGAAAACGACTGTTTTGTAATAGTCAACGCTTTTAAGTTTTATGTTGTTAAAATATATTGTAAATATATGTGATCGCCCTCTTTAATATCACTCATCTTGGAAAAGGAATTGATATGAGAAATGTTCAGCTAGGGCATGGATACTTGGTCGATATCAGCACTGTAATTATACAATGGTCATATACAAAACAACGGGCTCTATAACATGATGATGGGGCCACCGAAAAACTACAACGTTAGCATACTGGCCAGGAAATATTATAGTATCACGATAAGTATGACCTATAAAGAAATCTAGGAAATTTAATTTTTATTTTAGACGCGGCCTTTTATAATTATCACTTCAGGGTCTAGTTGTACAATGTACATATATGCCTCCTTGTTTATTTTCAGACATAATTTTCTATTTGTTACAGAGCATTCATAAATTTTTACAAATATTTCACCTCTAATATCAAACATTGCTATAAACAGACGGACATATGCGTCACCTTTCACATTTTTCACTGAATAAATGTTAGCAATATTATTTGGTAGCAATGTGGTATATTGCACTCGCAAAAAAGTGAGCGCTAGTATAACGCAATAATTTTACAGCGCACGGAGGCTAGTTTTGTTTCAAGTTTAAAGCGTATCTAGAAAACGATTTGTGCCTCAATTTTCTATAACGATAAATTTAGTTAAATAATGTTATAAAGTAATCGTACGGAATAGTATTAGGGGGCACAAGGGTCCATGTTAGTGCCGATTTATTGGTGACCTTTTAATATTATTTGAGATAGTTTATGTTTCATTAGGTCTTCTATTTTAAACAGACCAACCCCATTTGCTTTCAGCTAGAAGCCTGTTCCACGCGTCGGTGAAGCGAATAAGCAAGAAATGTTATCGCGTTGATGAGTTGCACTGCCTTTTTTCCAGCCTAAAATACACTTTATTGGCGGGTTTTTAAAAAGCACGATAATGATGGACCATGAATATCAAAATATGTCACGTTGTTTATGATGGAGATATGCGCAGTACTAAAGTTTTTGCATTTGTCCGAGACATCGCACAAGCGCCGTAATATGCGTTGGAATATTTGACAAGACGAGATCTTAACTCCACCACTCTGAACAAGTAGTTATCCACGGAACGATCGGTCCGAACAACTCCCGTATCGTGACGGAAAAAACTTGAGGGACAAAAAAATGCGGTTCTAGCGCGTGATGCGAATAAAATTTTTTATAATTGGACAGTGACTGAAAAAATTGGCGGATCAGAAAACTTAATAAATGCAGTTCTAGCGCGTTATGCGCACAACATTTTTTATAATGGGACGGACGGACGGAAATCGACTAAGACTGAGAATGACTGTCGCCGGCTCTTAGCGGTTAAATTTGCACCAGAAGTGGCCTCTAAACTGTAGGTCTAGTGAGAATACGGATCATCTCTGGAGAACTAACGCCGTATTAATTGTTATTGTAATCAGCGGCCTTGGCGTGTTTCGAGTTTTTAAACTTCACCTGAAATTAATTCTGTAACCTCATAAGTGCATTATTTCTATATTTCAGCCAGGGTTGGCAATGATTAAATCAAAATAATTAAATCATGTGATTAAATCACTTGATTTTTTTATAAAAAAATCATGATTTTTTTGATTTTTTCATATATTTAAAAATATTGAGTGGCAGTCTTTAATTTATATTGAGGTATTGTTATTCATGCTTTAGTATAAATGTACTATGAATGACAAATTGGTATATAAACTTGTTGCCTTTAGTGTGTATTAGGTTCCAATAAATGGAATGTTTTTGGTACAGAGGCATCAAGTGTTGCAATACATTGTACGTAGCTAGCAGCTTAGCTAATTCTTATAAGGCTATAAGTAGTCTAACTATTTGACTATTTGTTATATATTGATAACAATATACAATTTAAATATGTTAGCTAGGTTATACAGGGTGGGGCAGAACTGATTGAACAGTTTTAAGGCAAAATAAAAGAGTAATGGAGGTACATAGAGAAGAAAGTTTATATTCCTCATGATTAGCATAACAGAGCATTTAAAATACTTATGTTTTGAAAACAATATCAGGAAGATGGGGTTTGTTAGCTGCATCACATTGCTGGAGTTGTTCTCGGAAGTTTCCTACAGCACGTTCACACATATGGCGAGGTATGGCCATAACCTCTGCTGCAATAATCCGTTCCCTTAGCTGTGATAGGGTGTGAGGGCGACTTCTGAACCTCTTTCTTTTAGATGTCACCAAAGAAAGAAATCGCAAATGCTCAAATCAGGTGACCTCGCAGGCCACTGTAAATCACCCCTTAGAGACACCAGACCTACAGGAAACATGCGTTTCAAAACATTGAGTGACATTCGAGCTGTGTGAGCTGTAGCCCCATCCTGCTGGAACCACGTCTCCCAATGCTTCATTTTCAACAACGTTTTCCATCATGGGCTGTAAGAAATTTTGCAGCATAGCGATTGGAATTCACTGTTCACTCCCTCCTCTGAGAATGACTCCAACAGTGTGTTGCAGCTAATGGCCCCCATCTTCCAGATATTGTTTTCGAAACATAAGTATTCAAAATGGTATGTTATGCTAACCTCTAGGAAAATAAACTTTCTTCTTTATGTACCTCCATTACTCTATTATTTAACCTCAAAACTGCTCAATTGGTTCTGCTCCACCCTGTATATTGAGAGGTTGACATTGTATTGACCTTTTAGGCAATTAGAAAGATTTTCCACCCTAATACGAGTATTCTAATTAAAATATTTAATTTCATTCTTTAAATATGTGAATTTGAAACTAGAAACAAAACAATTACAATTATAAGACTATATATAAAATAATTAAATGCAGCGAATGGATACAAAATATTTGAATTGTGCACATGTTTATTTCAAACAGTGTTAGCTTTTCTCATAACTTAAGTCTCGTTTCAAGTCGTATGAGGTTTGTTTGGTTATCGTTCAGTTTATGTTTAGTATTGGTTTATTGGTCTGAATTAAATGGGAACAGTGCAGTCAGTCACTACTAGTCGGTGTGTATAGAGGATAGAGTCTGGTAGATTTATAGGACATAAAACTAGTAGATCTATTGATAGTGCTGTGCACTGTGCAATCAGCTACCTATCTGTTATGTTACTCTTCAATGTTTAGAAGATCTGCATTCCTGAAGTGTTTTTGTATGTTGAAGCCAGTTAAATGGTCAATATTTGGCTCATTACCTTGCTCCATACAAACTTTACAAAGCTAATGAATAGACTTATCAATAATTGTTCACCCAAAAATCCCTAAGTAGTGAACACCACCTTGGCCTGTTGGCCATTATTGAAGGCAATAAGTGCCCTTTTTAGCCATCCATTATGATCCATATACTGTTATTGTTAGTAGGCTAATTGCAACATAAAAAATAACACCTAAAAAATACAAAAAAGCTGAAAAAATCAAAAAAATCAAAAAAATCGCCAACCCTGATTTCAGCTGTAGCAATTGGTTAACTTTTTGTTTGCACACAATCCTTGTAGCTGCCAACTGGCACTTGAACTGGAGTGAAAAAACTCAAGTGTAAGAAATCCGTTTCACGGAGCAGTTAAAAATCATTCAATGAGTGAACGAATTTGTTACCTTGATTTATCTATATTTATTTAAATTACGGCACGAGATAGAAAAACATGATTTCTTAAAGAAATTTATTTCTTCATGGCCCACATTGTACCACGAATAGGATATGTTTTTAACACAACATTGCACGCGAGACCAGGAAATCAGAGACAGAAGACAACAGTTGCTCACAAAAAATAAAATACATTTGCAATATTTCGTCAATACGCACATGCTTTACACCAACAGTCAAAACCTGGAGTAAGCTAAAGGCTTCAATCTTACTTGACAAACTTACAAAAATTAACATTCATGAATCTTTAATGTAAAACAATGATTTGATATTCTACAATATTATCATGGTTCAGAATTTCATCACCGTAAGCTGAGCGCGTACAGCGTAGCAACAAAAGTTTGGATCATGCTTTTGTGAAGAATAGTTAAACAATTCAAATACTTTCACTTAATCTCATTAAGGGGAGCGTCTTGGTCCAAAATCGACAATTTAGGCTTTTCCTGTTTTTATTCTCATCTTAAAGCTGACATTCTGACCCATCCAACGGTACCAAAACCATCTCTGTACGTTGATTTGTGCGTTCACGACAGATCCCGAAAGGGAGGGGGGTGGGGGAGTTCTTTCACATTTAAGATGGGGAATAATTCACGCAGTGCACTATAAATCACTTGTCTACAGACACTCAGCTCCAGTAACCTTGCTGCAGTCGTACGGGGTGGTTATTTTGTCCGTTTTCTAAGAATTTCTCGTTTTCTTTCATTTTTTTCGAAAAATTCACATGAACAAAAAAGTCTTAGAATTGCGTTTTACATACGTGCATTAAATTTCGAAGTGATCCGTCCGTAAATAAATAAGTTTTTTTCAGACCAAGACGCTCCCCTTAAATTCGCAAATCCAGAGAGGAGTGAAAATTCAACATGCCGAAGCACAGCTAACACCACTTTGATGAATAATGATGAAGACGACAACACTGATGAAGACCAGTGATCAAGACACCACATTGATGAAGACCAGTGATCAAGACACCACATTGATGAAGACCAGTAATGAAGACACCACATTGATGAAGACCAGTGATCAAGACACCACATTGATGAAGACCCGTAATGAAGACACCACATTGATGAAGACCAGTGATCAAGACACCACATTGATGAAGACCAGTAATGAAGACACCACTTTGATGAAGACCAGTGATGAAGACACCACTTTGATGAAGACCAGTGATGAAGACACCACTTTGATGAAGACCAGTAATGAAGACACCACTTTGATGAAGACCAGTGATGAAGACACCACTTTGATGAAGACCAGTGATGAAGACACCACTTTGATGAAGACCAGTGATGAAGATGACAAAACTTCAATTAAGTACATTAAAATAAATTATAAAAAACTTACCCTGTTCACCACGAAAATATATAAATAGACATTTATTATTAGACTATTGAAAACACCCAATTCTTCAAAGCTGAACATAACACGAGTACAAATAATGTAACACAAGTAGAAAAAAATCATTGATCTTCTACTATAAAGTCCCTATTCAACTATCAGGTTTTGAAACAATGCATTTAAACTCATTAAATATTACGAAGAAGTGCACCTTATAGGAAAAGCACAAACTTTAGTCAAGAATGGTCTTTTTCTGTCAATAAAAACTTAACAAAAGTCTTAGTAACTTTCAGGACATAGATAAACTTTTAGGTTCAGACGGTAAAGCAAACCTAGATTACCTAATGTCTTTCTTTAATACTATTTTCATTTTCAACAGAAAACTTTTTAGTATTACATAAATAATTAAATAAGAACAAAAAATAGCATTAGACACTTAACGGTACAGGAGATGAAGAAAAATGAGAAAAAAAACACGGCAATTTAAGAAATAGTAAATGGTAATGAGGAACGAGGTAGAGTTCACAAAACTCGTTAACTGCATTCAGATACGTACACTTTATATGATCAAGATACACATGACAATAATGACGTCATTTTAATGCCGAAGAGAACACAATTCCCAAGTAACTGAAGAAGCAATATACCACCATGTGTGAATATAAGACAATATTTTCAAATAAAATAACTTGTGCGCAAAAAAATACCTCGAGAAAATATTCCAAGCATAAGGATAGGCTATAATATTTCATAAAAATGTACTTGTACATATCACAGTACCATTCAGGAATCTTCAAATATATTGAATAATATTGGAGCATCATTTGGCTTTATGTAATATGGCTTTTATGATATTCAAACAAGCAAACTAATTAGCGTTTCTGAAATGATATGGCACAAAAGAAAAAAATATCAATTTGTTTGCAAAGCTGCATGCACGAAAAAACAATTATCAAACATGAAAAATGAAAACTATTATGGAAGCATTTAAAATTATTCATTAGTGCAAATGATATGTAAAAATACACACATGACCTCAAGCCAATAATGAAAGTTCAAAATAGGGATAAAAAAGGTCAACAGAAACCAAGTTTAAATGAAATAAATGAATAATTTACCGCTGAAAAAATGCAGAAAAAATGGAATTATCAACAATCTTGCATACAACAGGAATGAATTAATAGTTAAAAAAACCCTGAGTTTAAGTAACATTGTTATGTGATGCGCAGACGTCATTTTAGTGCTCAACTTAGAGATTATTGACAACGCAATTGTGATATATGAAGCGTTCAGTATCCTGGGTACAGTGTCTGAAATACAGTTATGAATACAGTATCAGAATACAGTGCAGTATCATGAGTACTGTATATGAATACAGTGTAATACGGTATCATTAACGAAGTACAGCATCATGAATGCAGTGCAGTATAATCAATGCAGAGCAGTATCACGAATGCAGTATAGCATCATGAACTAAGTACAGGATATGTGCAGACGAATAATGTACAGTATCTGCATAACATGTAGTATCATAATAAAAGTACTGTGCTGTGCAGTGTACAGTACATAGTAAAGAAGGTATCTGGCATGGCAGGCAGTTCAGTTTTCAGGTCTCAACAGAGAAGTGTACAGAAAGCCATAATGTACAGATTGCCACAGCAGAAGTTTCAATTCTAAAGCATGGAATGTAGATATTCCGATGAGGAGATAAAATATAAACGTAAATACCAGTTTTAAGCGTAAAAATTCATATCTTGAACAGGTAGTAAATAAATAATTACATCAAAAGGTGACAGGTGCTGAAGAATAAATAATACTGGGGCAACGTGACCAGGAAAAAGTATTTTGATATAAAGTTGTTTGCTAGAGAATCAATGTCAATGGTCATTTCCTTTCATTTCAGTATTCATGGAAATGATTAACGCATTTGCGTATTTGCTATCATCTGGTGTTTTTCATGGTGAGAATTTCTTTCAAACTAATTTTAGTTATAAGGAGACAGACACAATATATAACGTCCTTATGGCGATCAAAATCGATGGACAAAACTAATAAAAAAAATCATGACAGAGGCATAAGTTCTGACAGCTGTAGAGTTCTTTGGGCGGTGCAAATCTTAAGTTATATTAACATCAAAAATATATATTACCTGGCACTTGAACTAGGATTGTTTCTTTTATAATTTGCATTGTGCAACACCAAAATACGCAATACAAAACAATGGGACTGTAATGACAAAGGAAATACTACACTTCCAGTAGCGTATTCGTGATATAGAAACTATCAAAATCAACGAACTGGCCAAACAGAGCAGTAATATTAAACAGCCATTTGTGGTCAATTTCTTATTGAACAACCTCTTAACGCTGTCTTTTCTAGAGGTAAGTTACGCGCATTTCTTCAACACAAAAGTCATTATCGCAAAAAATGTCATCTCTTGCTACAATCATTTGATATATAGTCACCGCTTGGATAATATCATGCTGAAAAAATCTAGATATAATAAAACGTGCTACAAAAAATTCAAACACGGGCAATGCGCGTGGTTTTTGTGAAGTGTAAGACCTATTTCCACTAAATGTATAGGCCATTTCAAGATTCACAATAAATGAAAATGTAGTGCAGCTTACAGTCTCTGGATTATTGATACTTCCTCAACGCGATGCTTCATTTATTAATAGTTTATCAGAGAGCAAATGGATGACGTTGCTGAAGACTCAACTTTACCTAATGAATATTTAACCAAAATCATCTAAGTAAATCATGTTTCTACTTAATATTTTATACCACAGCTAAACAAATTTGCTTTACTATTGCGGTCAATTTTTAATGCCATATTGGATACTACCAAAAAATAATCATTTAATCAGTCTTTCTTTTTCTGCTCAACTTGCTCGACTTCATCCCAAGGTAAACTGATGACGTTAGTGAAGATGAGGGTACCTCCGAACACGAGGGTCGTGCCCACCCAGTGGGTGAGGGTAAACGTGTTACCGAAATAGAAAATAGAGAAGATGAGGGAACTGAACTTGCGCAGCGTCAGCACCAGGGTGACGTGTAGTGAGCTGACTTGTGATGTCAGCGAGAACACTGAGCTGATACATACGTATCTGTAAACAATTTAGGTTATTGACTTGTACGGTATTTTGCTTCCAAAACTATTACAGATTACACAAAAACATTTCAATTTCATTATGATAACATTTATAATAGGTTATTAATGATGTGAAATATCTCACTGCGCAAGATACACAAAATCATCCAAACTAATTAATAAATTTGTTATTAATGTTTATTAATGAGGTGAAATGTCTCACTGCGTAAGAGTGTTGCCAGCTAAGTAGAGGTAGAGTCTAGGCACGGCCGACAGTATCGGTACTGCTGACAACGCTGGCAGGGGCGCAGACAGTGAGAAAACTTTTATGAATTTGATGATGTCATTTGCTGACAGTAGAAATCCCGGCAGTGATAATAAGTGCTGGAAAATGGGAGAAAAATAAAAATGAGTTTCCAAATTGGAATACGACAAGTGATTAGCATTAGAAACGCCTCTAGTCATATAATTGAGATATTGATGCATCATTTGAATATCAGTTGATTATGAGGCCACAAAAAAAGAGATGAAGGTAAGGTCTTCACTTTACTTGCATTTCGTTTTTCAGTAAACTGACAAAAGATCAGCTATAGTTTTATTTAGAACTTTGCGCATGAAGCTCTGTCAGAATGCAGCTACGGTACATCAATGTCAACACCTACTTGATAAATACCACATCAAGTTGTCACCTATATGATAAACACTAATACTAATATTAAGCTGTTTTGATGGCGCTAGAGATACGTGCTAGATAGATAAATATATAGTTTCTATTAAAGGACAGCGAATCAAGTGCTGTGGCGATGTTATCGGCATTGACGGTACATTGTTTCGTTTGCAATGCAACTAAAAAAGTTTTTAAATGGAGAAAAAACGCAATTTAATGTAAAAGAACAGAAATAACTGAAGAAGAATAACTGATTAAAGAACCTACAATGAAGAAGAGAGCTTCTCTTGGATGTTTTCCGTGAGTTTTGTATAGGACCTCTTGGAAGATGCCCATCCTGGCAGACATGAAGAGCGCGAATGTGAGCAGCACGATCCCCAGCACCCACGTCACGAGGTTCTCTTCGTTCTCTGTGTCTGTGGCCCCTTCTTCTTGCTGGGAAATGTACACGTCATAAGAGATAATGTTCAAGTTTTTGTAAAAGCTCATTTAAAAAAAATTAGATCAGTACTCACTGCAGTGAGTGACAGAGAGCGCATTTTCTTGTCTGTCCGTGAAATCACGGACAGACAGACGGACGGACGGACATGACGAGCACAATAGCATTTTTTTTTTATAAATGAGAAAATGCAGTAAAAATGGAATCTAAACATTAAATATTCACAATTAAGGAAAGTCCAATGATGAGCTGACTTCTATGAAGCTGTCAATAAGCTGACTCAATATTAAGCGAGTCAGCTAATTACATGGTCATAATTACGCCCATGTTAGTGACCTGTACCTGTTACTGGTGGACATTAATTGAGGGTTTGTTCAGTAAGCATAATTTGTGAATATTTTAGCAGCAATAGTGCGGGTATGAATATCAAATTTGTAACTAGTGAATATTTTAGCAGCAATAGTGTAGGTATTAATGAGAAAAATTGTAACTAGTGAATATTTTAGCAAATATTGTTGATTTGAATGAGAAATTTTGTAACTAGTGAGTATTTTAGCAGCAATAGTGTGGGTAGGAGAAAATTTGTAACTAGTGAAAATTTTAGCAGCAATAGTGTGAGTATAAATGAAAAAATTTGTAACTAGTGAATACATATTATAGCACCAATAGTGTAGATAGAAGGAACAAATTTGTAAATAGTGAAAATCTTAGCATCCATAGTGTTGACTCCAGTGAGTACTTTTAGCAATCACAAGATGCAAGTGTAGAAGCAATGCAGCACTCAGCACTCACAGCTTCCCCGGATGAGGCAATAGTGCACATGATGGTGCCTGCCGTGATGAGAACCACAGAGAAATATTTGCTGAAGGTGTAGCGTCGACCCAGCACGATCATGGCCATGATCAGGTTGGCTATAAGTCCTCCCTGTACATAGAATAATTGCGAGGAAAAATAGACGACTCAGGTCATCTATTTTCTATGAATACATTGTGCAAGAAAATAGAATAATTGCAAGGAAATATTAGTAAGGTCATCCATTTTTTATGCAAATATTGTGCAAGACAGGACATGTGAAGTTTTAAACTAATTTCCAATTTGATAGCCAAAATTTGAAATTATAATATGATGGTATATTATAATATAATTTATACAAATTGCAAATGAATAACAGAGAAAAGCAATAACATGAAAAACCATACAAAAAAATTGTTCACGCTGAAGAAAAGTGTTGATAAGTTTCACTCCATTTATGAGAGCTGTACAATTTATTTCAAGTATACATACATAGTTTTTCATAAATTCAATTTAGGAATCTAATTATCATCAAAATAATTGAGAAACAACAATATCCAATTGTGACTCAAAATGAAATTAAAATATGATCAATTAATAAATTACTTCAATATAATATATATCAGCAATCAAAATTTCAGTAAAAAGAGCATAAATTCAAATATAATCAGAAACCATCTTCCTGCAGCTAATTTTACCAATTATTTCTATAAAAATACCCTAGACATCAACTTACGCTCCTGAAAATCATGTGAAGTGGCATGGAAATTTTGAAACTGAAGGCCAAGTTGTTGCTGACATTAACGATGAAGAAGAAGAAAACCAATAAAAGATACTCTCTGAAAAAAAAAAATAATTCAATAGGTTTTATTCAAACAGGAGCTGTGTATGAATAGCTTATGGAAATGTTAGTTTTATTTTGAAAAAATCCAATTTTGACCAGATATATATACCATAAAACAGGGTGACTTGGACAATTTTGACAGTTAAGAAAAGAAAATCCTACACTAAAAAATTTCTTGCTTTGGACAAATTGTGTCAATGGCTCTTGAAGTACCATGAGATAACATACAAATGCAATAAAAATATATATTTTATATATCCACTATGTGAATATTTTGATCACAAAAACTGTAAGTGACAAAAATGAGTGATAAGTGCTACTTGCACAAAAATTAAAAATACACAAAAAAGACATGTACCTATCTATACATAGAGTATGATTTTAAAAAGAGTTAGAATCATAATATAAACTTGCATTGCTGAATTAAATGGACAGTCATTTCAATCAAAAAAAAAAAAAAAAAAAACATGTAATAGAGACAAATGAGATCAATCCCAATAAGACAATATAGTATAGATTTATAACAGAGCACTGACTTGATGGGTATAACATTCTTCTTGCGGCCAAAATCCATTGTGAAGATAAAGCCCATAACAGCTATGAAGACAAACTGGGAAAATGTGATGAGTGTCCCACTGGATGGTTCAGCTCTGAAAAAAGTGAATATTAGTTAAAAGAAAAACAAAAATAAATTCAAGAAATTTAATAAATATTCACCTGGACCATCTTAGGTTAAAACTGCAGTACGTTAGAAATAAGCTTTCATCCACAGAAGTGTGAGATTAAACTGGACAAATTTTCAAACCAGAAAAAAGGATTTCAAGATATATTGTATATGACCTACATGTGGAGTCATGTTCCTGGGCAGAGAATTGTAAGCCGAGAACGAGATTCAGTTTTATAAATTACCATAAAGCAGGGTAACCATTGATGAGGTGACTAGGACCATTTTGACTTCAAGAAAAGAATGGGCTGTACTCAAAGTTTTACCTTATAATAAAAATTGTGTTGATGGCTCTTGAAGTAAATTAGAGGATAACCTACAAATGCAATAAAGAGATACGGCTTATATCTTTATTATGTGACTACTTGTATTGCAAAAAGTACCAGCACTAAAAATGGTCCAAGTCACCACATCAATGGTCAGTCACCCTGTTTTGCTGTATTGACAACTTGTTATTTTGAATACGGTACTTTGTTATTTTGGATACTTTGTGATATAAAAAATAGAAATTGGTCTAGAAAGTCAAGTTTCAACAATACCTACCTATATTCAACATTTTACTCATCTGCATACTATGGGAAAATTGGGATTTCCACAAACTAATATGTTAGTGAAAATCCCAAAATCAGCTAATAATTAAGTAGCAAAGATAAATACAATAAAATTTACCACATATTTATGAATCCATTGATCATCTAAGAAATGAGACAAGATTTGCTAAAACAGAATAAAAAATTTTCATTTAAATGTCTATGAAATTCCTTACATTAGTGTAGTTAGGCAGAAGTTCTTCATTTATACAGGTTTGATTGAAGACCAGAGCGTACTTTTTATTTACGATTTTCTTATTGTTTTTTTCGATAAGCCGAACAAAATTTCTAGCTGGAGCTTGGAGATCAAAAAGCAGATTACCGAATGACATTTTAATAGAATGCGACGTTTCGAATATATCAATATTCATTATCAAGCAAGTGAACAGTTATTACAACGCTAAAAATTGAAATTTGGACATGACATAAGTTCATACAGAAAGTATCGTAGATACGGTTCAAAATCGAAAATTAAATTAATCCGAGAATAATTTCAACGTCCTGACGAGTCCCGCGGTTTGCAAATTGATAGCAGGAGACTCGTCCTTAATGATGAGAGCCTCCGCTATCAACAGTCTCGTAGTGTTGGGGCACCGCATGACGATGCTGGTGCAGGCCTCCAACGTGGCACGGGTGATGGTCTCGTTGTGGGCCTCCCGCATATGATTCTTCGGTCCTCCCGCTTGCAGATGGCATGTGAGTCTACGGCTCAATGTCGTGCTTGTCAAACCGATGTAATTTACATTTTGAAGAAGTCTACAACCTTCTTTCATGCAGGAAAATTTGTAAATGACATTGGTTTCTTGTAGTGGTCCGGACTTTTTACATGGATTGTTTTTCATGATTAAATTCTTGATCTTTTTGTTTTTGTAGTAAATCATAAGTTGTATTCGGTCAGTTACTGTTGTGCAGCTGATGTTATTTTGCACAATTGAATTGAGGACTCGTTCGTCAGTCCTATGACCATCGTTCATTTGGTTTTGATAGTAAATTCTGGTGACGCAACCTCTTGATGAGGAATCATCTGTTCGGTTTTGACGATGCTCTGATATTCGAAATTTCTTTGTCAATCGTTTTGTTTGCATAGCCGTTGTTGACAAGAATTTATTTGCAGGTTTGGAGTTCAGTTTTCAAGTCACGAGCAGAGGTACAGGCCTTGAACGCTCGATGTATGAAGGCGCGTATAGTGCTGATTTTGTAGCGCTGGGGACATTCGCTTTCTTGGTTCAGGACCTTTCCGACGTCTGTAGGTTTTCGATAAACTGTAGACAAACAAATTATTATCGTCTTGCACCAGGACGTCCAGAAAAGGCAACGTGCGATTTTGTCCGAATTCGTAAGTGAATGTCAAAACGGAATTGCGTTCTAAAGCCGCGCGCAGCTCCATCATGTGAACTTCGTCTCGAATGATGACGAAGATGTCGTCGACGTATCGACAGTAAAGGTCAGGTTTAATTTGTGCATCCAACAACACATGGTTTTCAAGTTCGCACATGTAGAATTCGGCAAATGTTGGACCAAGAGGACTGCCCATTGCTACACTGTTAATTTGCTGGTATATTTTGTTATCTGGGGTCCGAAAAGGCGATTCTGAAGTACAGAGGCGGAGGAGATCAAGTAGAATATTTTTAGGGATTGATGGGGCCGGCAAAGTTTCATTAGAGTAGACATGTTTGACTATTATTTCTAAAGTTTGTTCGGTTGGAACATTGGTGAATAGGCTATTGACATCAAGTGAAGCGAGTTGACCAGATGGGCGCCGATTGCGAAGGATCTCCAAGAAGTCTCCTCTAGATCTGAGTGAAAATTTCTTTGGTATGTACGGTTTTATAATAGCATCCAATTCTTGGGCTGTTCGGTAAATTGGAGAGGTAACTTGGGCAATTATGGGCCGGAGCGGATTATTCTCCTTGTGATTCTTAACATTTCCGTAGAGGTAACCAGGCAAAAAACTCCCGACGATTGGGATTAGCTTCATACAGAAAGTATCTACGATACTTTCTGTATGAACTTATGTCATGTCCAAATTTCAATTTTTAGCGTTGTAATAACTGTTCACTTGCTTGATAATGAATATTGATATATTCGAAACGTCGCATTCTATTAAAATGTCATTCGGTAATCTGCTTTTTGATCTCCAAGCTCCAGCTAGAAATTTTGTTCGGCTTATCGAAAAAAACAATAAGAAAATCGTAAATAAAAAGTACGCTCTGGTCTTCAATCAAACCTGTATAAATGAAGAAATTCCTTATTTATATAACTGCATCCATTGCATGATACACAAACAAAAATAGTACATTGACATGCTTTTGGCGTGATCCCAAGAAATCACCAGTAAAAGTAAAACCTAGCTTAAGATTTGTGTGGTCTACCTACTAGAAGACATCAACCTGATTTTCCATTAAGTCTTAATTATAATGAATGGCCAAACAATCTGCTAAGGTGCATGTATATTTATGTTTTATGCAAATTTGATTGAAGACCAGAGCATGCTTTTTATTAAAAATTTTCTTATTTGATTTTTCAATGAGTCAAACAATATACATATATTGCTGGCACCAGGTGATCAAAGAGCTGGTCAGCAAATGACAGTTTAATTGAATGCAACATTTCAAATATACAAATTCATTATCAAGCAGGTGAAGGTTTTGCAACACTTTAAATTGAACTTTTAGAAATGACTGTGGTCCAAATCTAATGTATTATGGATACAGTTGAAATCTAAGCCTAAAAATTACTATGAAAACAATTTCAGCATCATTCCTGCAATTTAGAGGCCACCGACCAAAAAATTAAATATATGGACACCTTTGGCCATAGTGAAAAACCAGAGATTTTTTTAGAAACAGTTCATTTTTAGTTCACTCTTTCAATCAGAATTTAAATCAAAATCCTATTTATGATAATGCTGGCATCCATGATATTTTACTGATCTACTTATGGGATTCAAAATTGAACTTGAGGAAGCATCTAAAAAACTTTGCTTAGCCACTTGACATTTTCTGGAAAAAAGGTGGGCTCTTTACTTATTTTCTATTAAAATCAAGAAAAATTATACATTTTTGCCTACAATCCTCATAAGTTGATTTTTTGTATAGACCAATTTCAGAAAATTCTGCCTGATATTATAGATTAAATTGATTTAAATTAATAAATCCAACTTTGAATGTTTCAGACTTACTTGACAAGAAGCTCCAAGAAAAACACATTGCTGCAACAGCCAATGAAAACAAATAGAATTGTAGTTGCAGCACCCATTATACTACAAGGCAAGCAAGAAATTTATAATGAATACTTTTCATCAATAAAAGGTATCAGACTAATGGAAAGCATCTGAAAGTAAACAGTAGAAATTATAGAAAAATTGTTATAAACTAGGAATGAAGTTCATTATCTATTTTTATAACAAATTTGTCAAACAAACAGGCTTTTTTACATGAAAAAGTATCACTATCAATATACATTAGAATAAACAGACAATAACATACTTTATAGTTAAGAGAAATTTGAACAAAATTTCCATAATTTCTGCTAGTATTTTCCATTCTCCAGCAGGGTTGGCAATGATTAAACCAAAATGATTAAATCATGTGATTAAATCACTTGATTTTTTATAAAAATCATGATTTTTTATTTTTTCATATATTTAAATATATTGAATGGCAGTCTTTATTTTATATAGAGGTATTGTTATTCATGGTTTAGTATAAATGTACTTTGAATGACAAATTGGTATATAAACTTGTTGCCTTAATTGTGTATTAGGTTCCAATAAATTGAATGTTTTTGGTACAGAGGCATCCAGTGTGCAATACATTGTACGTAGCTAGCAGCTTAGCTAATTCTTATAAGGCTATAAGTAGTCTTTGACTATTTGTTATATATTGATTACAATATACAATTTAAATGTGTTAGCTAGCTTATACAGGGTGGGGCAGAACTGATTGAACAATTTTGAGGTAAAATAAAAGAGTAATGGAGGTACAAAAAGAAGAAAGTTTATTTTCCTCAAGATTAGCATAACATACCATTTAAAATACTTATGTTTTGAAAACAATATCAGGAAGATGGGTTGGTTGGCTGCATCACACTGTTGGAGTCGTTCTCAGAAGTTTTCTACAGCACATTCACACACATGGCAAGGTATGGCCATAACCTCTGCTGCAATAATCCGTTCCCTTAGCTGTGGTAGGGTTTGAGGACGACTTCTGAACCCCTTTCTTTTAGATGTCCCAAAAGAAAGAAATTGCAAATGCTCAAATCAGGTGACCTCGCAGGCCACTGTAAATCACCCCTCAGAGACACCGGATGTCCGGGAAACATGAGTTTCAAAACATTGAGTGACATTCGGGCTGTGTGTGCTTTAGCCCCATCCTGCTGGAACCACCGTCTCCCAATGCTTCATTTTCAACAATGTTTTCCATCCTGGGCTGCAAGAAATTTTCAACATTGCAGCATAACAATCGGAATTCACTGTTACGGTTACTCCCTCCTCTGAGAACGACTCCAACAGTGTGTTGCAGCTAACGGCCCTCATCTTCCAGATATTGTTTTCAAAACATAAGTATTCTATATGGTATGTTATGCTAAACTCTAGGAAAATAAACTTTCTTCTTTATATACCTCCATTACTCTTTTATTTTACCTCAAAACTGCTCAATCGGTTCTGCCCCACCCTGTATATTGAGAGGTTGAGATTGTATCAACCTTTTAGGCAATTAGAAAATTTTTTTCCCACCCTAATATGAGTATTCTTATTCAAATATTTAATTTCAATCTTTAAATATGTGAATTTAAAACTAGAAACAAAAGAATTACAATTATAAGAATATATATAAAATAATTAAATGCAGTGAATGGATATAAAATATTTGAATTGTGCACATCTTTATTTCAAAGTGTTAGCTTTTCTCATAACTTAAGTCAAGTTTCAAGTTGTTTGAGAATTATTTAGTTATCGTTCAGTTTATGTTTAGTAGGTATTGGTTTATTGGTCTGAATTAAATGGGAACAGTGCAGTCAGTCACTACTAGTCCATGTGTATAGAGGGTAGAGTCTGGTAGATTTATAGGACATAAAACTAGTAGATCTATTGATAGTGCTGTGCACTGTGCTATCAGCTACCTATCTGTTATGTGACTCTTCAATGTTTAGAAGATCTGCATTCCTGAAGTGTTTTTGTATATTGAAGCCAGTTAATTGGTCAATATTTAGCTCATTACATTGCTCCATACAAACTTTACAAAGCTAATGAATAGACTTATCAATAATTGTTTACCCAAAAATCTCTAAGTGGTAAACACCAACTTGGCCTGTTGTCAATTATTGAAGGCAATAAGTGCCCTTTTTAGCCATCCATTAGGATTCATATGGTACTGTTATTGTTAGTAGGCTAATTGCAACATAAAATATAACACTTCAAAAAGACAAAAAAGTTGAAAAAATTAAAAAAATCCAATAAATCAAATAAATCAAAAAATCATGAAAAAATCATTGATTTTTAATTTTTTTGATGTAAAAAAAAATAAAAAAAAATCACCAACCCTGCAAAAGAATAGACATAAAATAATAGAGGAAGGGATAACAGTAGAGTATATTGCAGGCATGGCACATATTTCCCCCCTCCCACATGCAGGAGGATGGACACACGTGCAGCCACGGGAAGGAAACTCATAAAACTGCTCTCCCATTAATCTAATTAATTCTACACAAAATAATTTATTGTCCTTATTCAATTAATCCACATAATAACCATCAGTAAAGTCAGGCTTCTAATGCATTTCAACTACCCAAGGTTAGTAACTAGGTAATGCCCTACACTGTGCCTCACAAGAGTATCCTGATACTATGCAAAGGTCCAGCCTGGGTGGGACAGCCTGGAGCTTTCCCACTGCCAAAGCAGCAACAAAATAGGATTTATTTTATTAATCAATAAGTGTCAAACAAGGAACTCCTGTGGGCAGGGTTGTGAAGGAATTAGGGGGTCGTGATATGAAAGATTGGAATCAGCAGCATTCCTTACATGAAGCAGACAGAACAAAAATACCTAGGAAAGCTGCTGAGAATGCTGCTGGTTGCCAGGGACTGCAAAAATGGCAATCTAAGAGGGAAATATGAATTGATCTAGGTTAGTTCCCACATATGTTAGTGTTAATTAGTCTACGGAAGTAACTACATTCACCATTATGTTAATAGATGAATGGTTATCAGATTGAGTTTATTACATGCGAGGAGCAGAGGAATGAGGCTAGAGCTTCAACAATTGCTGTGTTGGCAGCAGGAAGGGGCCTCCTCCCAGGAGATTTTTCAAGTTGGGGGTGACATTAAGTTCTGCCAGCATATGTAACATTTGAGTGCGGGCCACAGAATGATTTGTGCATTCAAAATTAAGGTGGTAGATGGTTTCAACAGAACCACAGGAGCAGAGTGGATTAGGAGCCAGGCCAAAATGAGCCAGGTGCCCAAATGAGCCCAAATCAGACACCAGCATGACCTGTTCGTGTGTTAGCTACAGCTGTCTCAATTGCCCGATTTGGGTGTGAGGCCCACGGCCAAGTGCCTAGATTGATTGTCCTTAACCTGAGCATTGAAGAGCCCCTTTTCAGATCTCCTCATTTCCTGATGCCACTTATGTGCACCAACTAACAGAGATCGCATCATCTATCGATCTCACCAACTCCTCCTTGCTCGGGGTGGTCAATGTACGATATGGGAGGGTGCGTGCTTCTCGGGCAGCAAGATCTGCTGCTTTGCTTCCAAGTATTCCACAGTGGCTGGGAATAAACTGGAGCATCATTGCATGGGAAGAGTTCAGTGACAACAGTTTGGCTTGAATCTTAAAAACCAGCAGCAAGTAGTGTTCAGGTTTCCTATCTTTAATCAGAAACAGTGAACTTCGTGAATCAGTAAAAATAACAAATTTTCCATCCAAAAGAAGGTTATTTTGGGCCCAAGTGAGAGCCTCCTGTATAGCATATAGTTCTGATTCCAATACTTGTACTTCTGGGCGGAGTGTCCAGTTGAGAGAAACTCCCCTGGATGGGACTACCACAGCAGCAGATGTGGAGCATGTGGGTTCATCTACTCGTGACCCTTCTGTGTAGGCAGCCACACAGTTTGCATACTTATTTTGGGAAAGATCATGAAACATTTGCGTGATGGTAGCAGGTGAGAGGGATGACTTTGGGATGCTGTTAAAATTGGGTCAACATTGATAATTGTCAACATTGAAGCATGTTTTATTTAATAATTGTCAACATTGAACCATGGAGGCAGAGGTGAAATCAAGGGGGATGCAATGAAGCATGGACAAGGGAGGCCAATGCTGCAGAATATTGCCCTGGTATGGGGAACAAAGGAGCAGGGCACATTTTCTGGACAGAAATGCCTGGCAAGGATGAGCTCGTTGGTGGCTGGGCACTTAGGGAGCTGCCATAGCCTGGAATAATATCTGCACATTAATTGATCTCTATGGATTTCAAGGGGGGGGGGAATATTTGTTTCAATTTCTAAGGTAGTGATTGGAGTAGTTTTTCTACAGCCTGTAGCAATTCTGAGGCTACTGTTTTGGAGCACGTTCAGTTTGGATAGGTGCAATTGTGCTGCTGATGCATAGAATAGAGAGACATAATCAAGCTTGCTACGGAGTAAGACCTTGTAGAGCTTTATAAGTGTCTGACGATCAGCACCCCAATGCCTGTGGGATATGGATTTCAGAAGATTGAGTACTGGCAGTCTGGCAAGCATGAAGTTTTCAGCATCTCTATGTGAGGCCTCCATCTGAGGCAAGGCGCATCCAGCACAACACCAAGGTACCTGTGTTGATGAACAAATTCTAGATTGTGTCCATTGGCTTGGATGGGAAGAGTGTGAACTTTTTTGGTGGTGAAGCACATAATTTTTTTTTTCCTGATTTAATTTTAAGCCCATCTGAGTGCCCAGTCTACAAATGAATCAATTTGTGCTTGAAGTAAATTAGTGGCTACTTGGATGTTTGGGTGACTAACAAAAAATGTGATGTCATCAGCATACTAAGCAACTGAGACTCCATGAATGGAATGCATGTTGTTCATCATCACATTGAACAAAGTTGGGGAAAGTATTGCACCTTGTGATTTGATAGATCTAGAGGAGGAGTATTCTCCTTCAAAGAAGACTTTAAAGGTCCTTTCACTCAAATAGGCGTGAAACCATCTCAAAAGTGAGCCTTGTACTCCACAGCAACTTAGTTTATAAAGGAGGCCTGCAAGCCACACCCTATCAAAAGCACTGCTAAGATCTACAAAAAAGACCAGCAATGCAGACCTTGTGTGGAGAGCACGATGGATA